AAGTAATCGTTCCAGCCTGAAGCTGCTACGGAATTTCTTCAATCGGTTAACTGACAATTGCTTCCTAGGGACAGTAGCTCTAAATATGCAAGACCCCTTTCGACCAGCGTTTCAGATAACGTCGTAATGGTCCATGATCCGTCGAGGACCAGTTGAGCTCGAACCGTGCACAAGGTTCCCATGGCAAATTCTTGTGATGTCCTTGGTGCAGAAAGCTATTATAATGTTTATTGATAGATTGGGATGTGCTCTTTATACTAAGTTGGGAGCAGTCGGTTTGAGTTTAGCAAAGTGTGATTAATGCTGCTGAAAGGCGGGGTGAAGCGTCCTTTTTTGGCCACCTCTGTATATCCTGGCTCGAGAGCGTTTCGAAACTTTTGTCGCGCCATTTTGAAACAAATCGCATAATCCAACGAAAAGTCTCTGGTTTTTTTCATTATAACGTTAACGTGGAGTTATTCACCCAAATTTTTACGTGCAATGGGAATTTTGGGCAAAATTGTTCATTACCGGTTGGGGATCAGAAATTAATTGTTCTCTAAATGTTCATGACAGACTATTCATTGAAGGAGAACAGCCTTAAGAATTTAATGATGTGCTTATGAAGCCATGAAAGCTTTGAAAGCTTCCGTTTGGTCACAAAAGGCTTATTCCGTTTGCATCTGTTTTCTTTTACTCGAATTGTTCGAGAGGATGAGAAAGCCGTCCAGAATCTTAGCGCTAGCCAAATTGGACAGTTTTGCTTCCAAATGGAAATCGAAAATGGTGCGATTCCCAAGGGAGTGGGTGAAATGAGAACAGTCCACTTTTTTGATCGACATTCACAATGTTTTTAAGGAGATTATCCACAGTGCAACTATATTGCTCTACCTGCTCTCTCACCCACCATGGAGACTGGTCGCATAGTCAGCTGGCAAAAGGTATGATTGCATATTTTCAGTTTTATTGTCATTTTGATACCGTTGTTAAATACTTTGTTACTGATATTTTTATATTTAGTAGTATTAATATGATATTAAGTCAATAGCAATTTTTATTACAAAATATTTGATTAGTATATCTATTATGAAATATTTGATTGTTGTCTATCCAATGTTTATGTACTACTGTTTTACTAAATCCATCTAACTATAAATAACTCAAAGTTATTGTATAATAAAAGCTCAAAATTACTAAAGAGAACTTTGCTTCACAACTCTTCCTGCTCACTAGCCTAATTTGGCGCTTCAGCCTCTTCCTTATTTTCATGTGCTTTAGAATGATCATTGATTTTGCGCGTGAATTATTGAGAGCCGTAGGAGCCTATTTTACCTCTTCAGAGAAATCTAATTGGCTTCTATTCAGAAAGAAGGTGACGAACTGGCCGAAGGTGATGTGTTATGTGAGATCGAAACGGATAAAGCGACTA